CACACTCTGTGTGCAGGACTGACCGAGCTACAGCTCCGCTCTGGGCCACCGCGCGGCGGAGGCGGAAGATGCTCTAAAGAAAACAGTGGAGAAAAGGGTTTTTTAACATTTAATCGAGATCTGCCTTTTATGTTTAATGAACGATGTGATTTCTGGAAGAACACGCAGCTTGTGTAACGACAAAGTGAATAAATTGTATATTTTAAAAAAAAGCATCTTTGTAAACCGTGATCTGCTTAAAAGAACCATGATGAATAATGAATGAACGCAACGGCAACCGGTAAAAGCCAGCTTTAAAGTGGCCTGAAGTGAAATACGATAAAGCTTTTAGTCAAATTTCTGATGGTGTTTTCACGAAAAGCAGAGGCATTTGGACAAACTCCCTGAGAGATGGAGCAGGTGGCAACAGAAGCCCTTTATTCTGCGTAACTTGAGAGGGAGGAGAACCGTTAACACGTGGCAGCAGGCTGGATGCGGTGCTGCAGCTGGGTTTAGGGCACTGGGTGGGGTCAAAATCCAGTTCCCCCCCTCCCTGAGACATCAGGGAGTGCAACCACCCTAATTGCCATGGCCGGCATCACCTGGGGCCTCCACCCACACCCTCCACCCCGGGCACTATTTAAGCTCTGCTCTGGGTTTTGAACCCCTTCCAGAGCTGTACTGTAGCTGTGCTTGGTCCTGGTCCTGGTCCTGGTCCTGGTCCTGGTCCTGGTCCTGGTCCTGGTCCTGGTCCTGGTCCTGGTCCTGGTCTTCAGCTTTCCTGGCTTGAATTTGGCCCTTGGTTTCCCCACCGACAGGAGCTGCTGCTCTGCTCGGGTGCCACAGGACCGTGCTCTGCGTCGTGGCCGCTCTTCGGCTCCCAGTTCGCCTTCCCTTAGGGAGCAACTGGTCCTCGCTGCTCCCTGAGCCACCTGGCATCACGCGAAGAGCACGGATAACTCCTAAAGCAAAGCAAACCCGGCCAGGCTGAGGATAAAGCAAGCTCTGATGAAAGGTAAAGATCTCCCCCCTTGCTTTTCCCTGTGGCTGCCTCTTAAGGACAACAGCCCCTGCTCAGCCACATGCTCCAGGTGGATTTTATTTTCCTCTGTATTAGGTATCCAAATGCAGATTTTTACATCTGAGAAAAAAAGAAATAGTTTGGTGTATTGGTATAACAGTACAGCAGGTGCACTTCGCTCATGACTTCCGTGGCCACCTAAAAGAAATCATGCCAGGAGTATTTATCTTTTATGTTCGCTATGGAAAAAACCAACGCCTGGGCTCATTCGGCTGCAGCCATATGCAAACGAACATGAAGTGACAAATGACCCCCCCTTCTTCCCTCTCTGGAGACCTGCTGTCCCAGCTCTCCCTGCTCAAGGTCCCTACCAGGCTGCAGTCGGTTGTCTCCGCTCTGAGGAGCGTGAGGTTCTGCAGCAGCTCTCGGTGGCACCTTCTCAGCTCTCCTGGGGAAGGAGCAGATGGGAAGGGGAAATATTATTTATAACCACCTCATGACAAGAAAATAGGGGAGGGAGAAATACTTCTCCATAGCTAGCTATTCAACCATGCCAACTCCTTGCCAGCAGGGCGAAATACCAGTGCTGGCTGCTGCTTCTCCTCCTAAAGCAGGCGGCCGGTGCAGGTCAGACGAAGCCCGTTCTGTCCCATGGAGCTCGATGTCCCGCAGCCGTAGGGAGCAAGGGGCAGGATGGGATCCCTGCGGGTGGCTGAGCACAGCAGAGAGGAGCCGGAGTGTTCGTTCCCCAGGGAGGGGAACACCGGGGAGCTGGGCAGGAGGAGGTCCCGTTGCAGCCGCTGTGTTGCCTCCAGGCTGTGATGGTCTGGTCACTTGAGGATTTCGCACCTTCCCGACCCACTTCTGGCATCCCCTGCCAGCTCAGCGGTCTTCTCTTCTCTTCCCTATCCTTACTTTCCATGGCCTGTCCACCTGGAAGCAAATGAGATTCATTTTTCTTGTAGTTAGCCCAAAGTGAGGGTTTATTTTTGGATACACCTCCCCAAGAGCCTCCAGTCCTCCTTGAACTTGCCTCTGGAGGGATCACCGCTTGAATCAGTGCAACTTCAGGAGCCAAGCTCAAGAGGGAAATTCCTCACGAGCTTTTCTACCACCTCCTATGCTATTACATCATTTCAGAAAAAACCTGAGAGATGACAAGGAAAGGTTTATCATGGCAGGATGCTTGGTAACATTGAGCCTCTGCAGATTTTAAAGCACGCTCACAATTCGCTGTACCTGCTTCTGTAAACACATGTGGCTCCTCCTCCTCCTCCTCCTCCTCCAGCCGACATCAGCGGGGAAGCAGCGGGAGCTTCGTCAGCTGGTTGGGGTCAGTTTGGTCACCAGGCAGCTCGCAAAAATCTGGTTTGTGGCTCTCCTAAGCGCGTCCTTGACCTCCTTGTTCCTCAAGCTGTAGATCAGAGGGTTGAGCATAGGGACCATCAGGGTGTAAAACACGGCGGTGACCTTCTCCACCTCCAGCGAGTACTTGGAGGCCGGCTGCATGTGGCTCAGCCCCGCCGGCACGTAGAAGGCGGCAACGGTCAGGAGGTGGGAGGTGCAGGTGGAGAAGGCTTTGTGCCTTCCTTGGCTGGACCTAATCCTTAGGATGGAGAAGAGGATGGACACGTACGAGATGATGATGAGGAGGAGCACGGACATGGAAATGGTCCCGTTGAAGGTTACAAGCAAAAGCTCATTGAGGCGGTCGTGGGAGCAGGAGAGCTTCAGCAGAGGGTTGGTGTCGCAGAAGTAATGGTTGATGACATTGGGGCCGCAGAAAGGCAATGGTAGCAAGCAACACGTTTGGATTAGTGAGTTCAAAAGCCCCCCGACGTACGAGCCGGCCACCAGCCGAAGGCAGACCCTCTTGGGCATAGCGACGGTGTAGAGCAGCGGGTGGCAGATGGCTACGTAGCGGTCGTATGCCATCACGGCCAGCAAGAGCACCTCTGTGGTCACAAAGACAAGGAAAAAGAAATGCTGGGCAAAGCAGGCGGAGTACGAAATGGTCTTCTGCTCCGCCAAGAAGCAAGCAAGCAGCTTTGGAGAGAAGACGGAGGAGTAGCAAAGGTCAACAACCGACAGGTTGCAGAGGAAGAAGTACATGGGAGTGTGCAGCCGGGGGGTTGCCTTGATCAAGGTGATCAGCCCAGCGTTGCCCATCAGGGTGAGGAGATAAATCGTGAAGACGATGAGGAAGAGAGGAGTCCGCAGCTTGGGCTCACTCGTCAGTCCTAGGAGGACGAAGTGGGTGACCGCGGTGCGGTTGCCCGGAGCCGTATCGCCGTGCTGCGCAGCCATGTGCCTGTTGGCAGGAGGAGGGACAGAGTGACATGGGAAAGAGCAGCGGGACGATGCCACCACCAGCAAGTACTCCCTTAGGCTGCTCAGTAAAAGCACAAAGCTTGATGCTTGAGAGCACCTAACCCTGCTCAGGTCCTCAGCAAACCCCGCAGGCAGAGCAACCCATCCCAAACCTTTCAGAAACCGCATTTTGTCCTCACTGCTTTGAGGCTGAATCAAAAAAATCAGGTTTTTTTCCTTTTAAAAAGGAATCCCCAGTATTGAATTATTTGAAAACTAGAGAAGTGGTGAAGAATTTTTCAGCTTCTCACCTGGTTTTGTTAGAACAGGAGGCAGAAAGGGGGAATACATTTCGTTTTCCCCATGAGCAGGCTGGACGCAGGTGAGCTGTGACCACCCCGGGAACCAATCTCAGCCAGGTTCCAGCACGGAGGGGAACGTTCCCCCCGGCGCTGCAAACCCTCACGCAACAGGGCTTTGTTACACTCCGTTTTTGCCTCTGCTCCAGCTCTATTATTGTTATTTACACTTTTTTCTCCACTCAGGAAGGCAGGCAGGTGTTTCCAGGCTGCTCCTTACAGTTGTGAGGCTGAGAAATGAGCCGTGCAGCATGCGTTATGTCTGTAATTAAAACTGTCAGCCACATTCATCGGAGTTCCGGAGCGGAGGAGAAAGAAAAAAAGCTCCTCACTTCTCAGCAGGCTCCGCAAAGCAGAGAGAAAAGCGGTGCCTTCATTTTCCAAACACGCACACGGTATTTTTCCTCTCCAAGCCCCTCCAGCCCCAATGACCCCCCCCTCTTTCTAGCGGGTGAATCCCTCGTGCGCCTGAAGGACCCGCTTCTGGGCTCAATCTGGTATAAACGGCGGTGCTGCTACCACGGAACGACAGCGTTGGCGTGACCAGCTGCAGCGGGCGTCTTTGTTTCGAAGGGAAAATGGAAGGAAAAAAGCCCAGGAGTGAAAAGCACGCGACCTACGCGGCGGGCAGGCGATGGCGCGGTACCCAAGATGGATTGCAGGGAGAGAGGAGCTGAGCTGGAGCTACACAAGGCAAACCCGCGTGCCACCGCATCCGTAAAACCTCTTCCACACGGAGCATCCCCGCAATTCCCCCCCTCCAGCAAGGAGAGAGGCCGGATGCTCGGCCGTCTCCTGGCTTTCAACGGTGCTTGCGGTACCCAGAGGCTGTTTCTCTCGCAGCACGCCTTGCCGGGGCGATGCCCCGCGGCTCCGCTCACACACCGGGCTTTGGTGAGCGTGTTCCTTCACTGGTGAGCGTGTTCCTTCACTGGTGAGCGTGTTCCTTCATC